AAGAGGAACCATGTGTCATCAGGCTCCGGCCCGGGGGTGGTAGCGGCTGTCTCCCTTGTCGTGCATTCGGTGACGAAGTCGGCCAAAGCTTGCCCTTTGATGGATGGCCTTGGCTTGATCTCAATCTGGAATTGGTTGAGGAAGATCGCCCATTTTACCATCCTTGAGGAGCTAGTGGGGCTCCTCATGAGTGCGCCCAGGGGCTGCTGGGTCAGTACATGGACGGCATGGGCCTGGAAGTAGTGCCCCAGCATTTTCACCATATGGACGATGGCTAGCACCGTCTTCTCAATGGGGGAGTACCTGAGCTCGGCCTCCCTAAGTGTCTTGCTGATGTAGAAAATGGCCTTCTGCACCCCTTCGTCCTCACGGATGAGCACGGAGCTGATGGCCGACGTGCTCACCCCTAAGTACAAGAAGAGGGTTTCGCCGGCTTTGGGCTTGGAGAGCACGGGTGGGGGCGAAAGGTACCTCTTCAGTTCTTCGAACGCTTCCTGGCACTCCGTCGTCCATTTGAAGCTGTTAGCTTTGCGCATGATCTGGAAGAAAGGGAGTGCCCTCTCGGCTGACCTGGAGAGGAAACGGTTCAGGGCCGCCAGGCGCCCCGTCAGCCGTTGTACCTCCTTGACGTTGTGGGGCGGCTCCATGTTGATGATAGCCTGTGTCTTCTCCGGATTTATCTCGATGCCCCTCCGGCTGACCATGTAGCAGAGGAACTTGCCGCCTTGGACGCCGAAGGCGCACTTCTTGGGGTTGAGGCGGAGCCTGAACTCCTTCATGATTTCAAAGATTTCCCAGAGGTCATCGGCATGTGTGGTGGCTTGCCTGCTCTTGACAATCATGTCGTCGACGTATGCCCCCATCGTCCGGCCGAGGACTGCTCTGAAGATTTTGGCCACCATCCTGGTATAGGTGGCGCCGGAGTTTTTGAGTCCGAAAACCATGATGAGGTAGCAAAAGATTCCCTCCGGGGTCATGAATGTCGTCTTCTCAGCGTCATCTTTATGCATGAAAATTTGGCGGTACCCTCTGAAAGTATCAAGGAACGACATCAACTCGCATCCCGCCGTCTCATCCACCAACTGATCAATGTTGGGGAGAGGGAACGGGTCCATGGGGCACGCCTTGTTCAGATCAGTGTAGTCAACACACATTCTGAATTTCGGCGTTTTTTGGGCGAGGACGACGTTGGCTAGCCACGTCGGGTACTTCACCTCTTTGATGTGGTTGATTGAGAGGAGCATGGCGACCTCCCCTTTGACGAAGTCCCGCCTGTCGGCGGATAAGTAGCACCGCTTCTGCTTGACAGGCGTGGAGACTGGATCGACGGTCAGCCGGTGAGTGATCACCAGCCGGCTGATGCCTGACATGTCGTCCGGGCCCCACGCGAAGATAACGGCGTATGACCGTAGGACGAGGAGGATGGCGTCCCGCTGGTCCTGTGGGAGTTGCTTCCCGATTCTGAGGACCCGCTCCGGCCGGGTGGTATCCAGAGGGACTTCCTCGACCTCTTCGGCCGGTTCGGCATGCGGCCTCTCCTCATCCTTGGCAACGGCTGCCGTGATGGTGTCTATCCTCTGTCCTTCCCTTTCGGCCGACCTCGTTAGCTTGAGGTAGCATGCTCTGGCTATCCTCTGGTTTCCTCTGGCGTAGCCGATGCCGCCATTGGTGTGGAACTTCAGACACAAGTTCTTCATGGAGATGATGGCCTCCAAGTCCTCTAGTGCTGGCCGCCCCAAAATCAGGTTGTGGGCCCACTGGAGGTTGACCACCATGAACTCCATATCAATTTTGGCGCAGTGGGGGCCGTCACCGACCTCCACGGGGAGGACTATCGTGCCCTCGGCGTCGATAGAGTCCCCGGTGAAGCCGGATAACAGTGTCTTGATCGGCTTCAGCAGAGCTTTGTCCAGCTTCAGCTGCCTGAAGGTGACCAGGTACATCACGTTGACGGAGCTCCCCGTATCGATGTAAGTGCGGTGGATGATGGAATCACCGATCTCACACCGGATGACGAGGGCGTCCCTATGTGATTCCGTACCCGGAGGCAGATCCTTGTCGGTGAAGGTGATCGCCTCCGTTCGCTGCTTCTTCGGCTGGGGGGGGGGGGGAACGTGGGACACCTCCCCAATGTAGAGGGATTGGGCCCATTTATTCCTCTGGGTGACGGAGTCCCCCCCGGTGTTCCCACCTACAATGAGGTGAACGTGGTTCTTCTTTGGCGGAGGCTCTTCAAATTCCTCGTCGTCGTTGAGCCTGCCGATCTCCCGCTTTTTCGTAGAGGGTTCGCCCCCAGGTTTGCCGGTGTTTACCGACGTATTTTTGCGTGGGCCACCTTTAACAAATTGGGAGAGTTCCCCCTGACGAATAAGGCGCTCGATGGCTTTCTTTAGCGTGATGCAGTCGTCGGTGTTGTGCGAGAAGTTCTTGTGAAATCGGCAGTATGTGCCGCCTTGCTGGATGGCAAGGACCTCCTCGGCCGGCCGAGGAGCCTGCTCAATGAGGCCATGCTTCTCGGCGTAGTCGAGGATGGTGCTGACCGGGTGGGTGAGGGGGACCCCCGGCCGTTCCAACCTCGGCCGCCAGTGGCGGCCTTTCTTGCTTTGTCCACCAGAGCCGTGACGGCCCTGGGCACCCTGGCCGGCCGGGGATGGTCCCGGGGCCGGCGAAGGATTTGTATTCTTAGAGGGATGGCCTTGGCCGGGATGGCCTCCCTCTTTTTTTGTGGTTGTGGAGCTCGTCGGCGTCGGCATACATGCTCCCGCGCTGAAGCGCCTTCGCATACGATCTTGGAGGATCGGTGATGAGACTTCTGACGTACGGGGAGCTGCGGAGAGCTCCCTGGTACAGGACGAGGAGGGTGCGCTCATCGGCCCCTTCGACCTCTTCGGTCTCCCTCGCCCACCGATCAATGAACGACCGGAGGGGTTCGTCATGTTGCTGCTTGATGGAGAGGAGATGGGTGAAATACTTCTTCGCACGCTTCCTCCCGGCAAAATGGGTGAGGAAGCGCTGGGCAAGGTCTTGCCATGAGTCAATACTTCCTTCGGGAAGCGCGTTGAACCACTCGTACGCCGGCCCCTCAAGAGTAGAGAGGAACCAACGGTAGAGATATTCATCTGACGCGTTCACCATCAGCATGTTGTTCTGATAGCGGCTGAAGTGCTCCTGGGGGTCTGATCGGCCATCGTAGGACTTGATGGCGTTTCCCCTGTACTTCTCCGGGATGGGGGCCGAGAGCACCCTGTTGGTGAAAGGGGTCCTGGTCCTGACCTGGATGACGGGGTCACCTCGCCCTTCGGCCAACTCCCTCTCAAGGGTGCTGACTTTGTTCATGAGGGCGTTGAGGCCAGGGTCGTTGGAGGCGCCGGCCGTGGGGATGTTCGCCGATTGCCTGGCCTCCATCTGGGCCAGCCTCCTTTCCAGCTGGGCGATGACCTCGTCCCGGGGGTCCCTGGCGGCCGCAGCGGCGCCCTGTTGGTTCTTCATGCGCTCGTCGTGGGCTGCATTGATCTGGTGGCGCACGTCGTCTTCGTGCAATTTTCCCTTGCCTTTGTCCAGGTGGGGCTGGTCCGCTGTTCGGGACACAGACCCCAAGCTTTCCCTTGGCGAGTCAGGCCGACGCTCACCAATCCGCCCTGCCATCCTCTCCGAAACCGAACGAAGGCGCGTGTTACCTAGCCTATTGAAGGCAGAGGCTTTTCCACGCGCTGGGGTCTGCCCAGTCCGAAGAGAGGAAGCGGGGTGGGAGTGGGACGACGTCGTGTCCTGGGCCATCACCCCCTCGTCGTTGCCTATCCTGACGGCCAACGGTTGGGGCTGAGGAGGTGGAGTGACGTTCCCCCCAGTCCTTGGTAAGAGTGCGCTGAGGACGGTGGGGTTCTGGGCCAAGCTGGCGATGATGACCGACAACGCGGCCTGGACCTGTGGATCCACAGACGGAGAAGCCGCGGCCATAGGCTGGGCCGGGGCGTGGTCTGTCTTCTCAGCGCGTTTCTTGTCCAGGCCGATGCGGGCATCAGGGGCTCTGCCGTTGAGTTGGTTGCGGAGGTTCGTCGTGAGGTTGATGGCCTCCTGGAAGACGTCTCCTCCGCCGACCTGGTCGGCCGTAGCGTCCTCTTCATGCTCCCTGATCTCCTGGTCCTCAGGGATGGCCTTGCTGACGAGGTTGCGGTTTGACTTAGTTCTTCCCATGATCAGTGGTTAGCTGTGCTTGGTAGCGACGAAGGGTGCTAACTTGACTGTTCTAGCTCTCAACTAGAGCACCAAATGATAGAGTATATATCTAGAGAGAAGTGAGAGCTAGAGAGAGAGAAGTGCAAGTAATGCTTCAATAGAATGATTTTGTAACCCCCATAACTACCTCCAGAGGAAGTATTTATAGGAAAAATACGGGCTGGGCTCCCAAGCCTTGGGTTTGGGAGACCCATTTACAACTGGACCGCTATTGGGCCGAATACAGAGCCACTGGTGGGCTATATGAATGAATAAGTGTAAAATCCGGTTCTGTGAGACTTCCGTGCCCGACGAGGGTCTTGGCCGACGAGGGCACGGCCGACGAGGGCGCGGCCGACGAGGACACCTTGGTTCCTTGGCTTCAAGATCATATTCTGAGTTGGCCCTTCTTCGGCCGACGAGGGTCTTCTGGCCGACGAGGGCACCGCGTAGTGGCTGTGCTTTCTGTTCTTCTGAGTATGTGGGTCCTGGAGCCTAGACTCATATACTCCATCAGGTATAATGGGTTTTTAGGGTGTAAAATCTTTCCAAATATAGAAAGGGGAACAAATTTCTGAGACAGCCCAAAAAAGAAACAGGGAACAATTTTTAGGGACGGAGGGAGTACTACCTTCGGGCTTCGTCCCCTTAATATTGAGACGAAAGATAGTAATGTGATTTTTAAGAAAAGTGGAGTTATGTAGTTGATAATGATTTGATAAAGTGAGAATAAAATAAGAATGAATTAAAACCACACAAATGTTCCCAAATATGATATGAGACAATAATAGGAACATTACAAATATGAAATAGAAAAAATGATATAATTATAAGAGGACCGAGAAAGTACGGAGTATAAATTACAAAGTAACCTATGAATACATATTTGAAGCATCTTAAGACATTCGAGGAGTAAATAAGATGGCGAACAAAACAAAACTTTTAATCTAAGATTTGATGCTCGGGCTAATGTGCGGGTCGGATACCGGATCTGCCTTGGGATCCAAACCCGTATCGTCCTCCACCCCATTTGTTGTCTGATCTGCAAAATCTGACCGTAGAAATGACAGATCCAACGGCTTATTGCCCCCCTTCCCAAAGTACTTCACCGCCGCGTGCATCCTCCTCAAGATAGCATAGAACTCTTCCACCTCCTCGTCTTCCGCCGCCTCCGCCGCCACGTCCAATGTCGAATTCAGGGGCTTCACGATTTCGCCCTCACCCGCCGCCTTCATCCGCTTGGCCGCCTTCTTCCCGATGCACTCGCCGTCAGACCGCCGCTTCTCCGCCTCCATTGAAGTGCCTGCGTTTATAACTGGTTTGGGTGATTTACCGTTTACGAATAAGTGAACGAGGATGAAAGGTTGTTTATAAATAGTCTTCAGGAACAGTAAAACAGTAAAAAGTAAGCGTAGGTGAAAAATCGATGACGTGCGGTCGTGGCGGAAACATGACGTATAAGAATGATCCATGATTACGGATTACAAGGAAGCGCTTACGTAAGTGCTCAAGTATTACCCGTTACATGCGGCTTTAATTTCCTTTTTTCGGAGAATGAGCATAACAAAATTCCGTTTGTACAAAAGTTTACACGCTTTTACATTTGCCTTGAAGGCAATTTTGTCTGTCAACAATGTTTTCATAAAAGAATGACTTTCACGGACCGGTGTAAATATCTGTAAACTTCAAAACGTGTACAAAGAGAATTACTCATGAGCATAATGGCCCTTTCAATGCTTCAAATTCATCTCTTAGATTATTTGTAGCGGTGTAGAGGGTAAAATGTTAAAAAAGAACTCGATCCATGTGAAAACAATGTTAAGATTTTTATTTTCCCGCATTACAAAATCGTCAATAAAATACATTCAATGTATTTTTACATACCAATTTAATAAAACATACTACCTCCGTTCTTTTTTAGTTGCAACGGTCAACATTTCACATTTGCCAACGCACGTCTTTGACTGTAATTATATCTTAATTCTATTAGTTAAAAAATATTAAAAATCAGATTTTGAAAAATTGTAATGAGATGAATTGAACAATATTTTTTTTAAAAAATAATTTTCATAAAATAATAGCGTAAAATGTAGTCAAAGTAGAGCATGTGAATAGTGTAAAATTCAACATGTTGTGATTAAAACGAAACAAAGGATAGTATGTAGTAGTACATATATTATATTATTATAAGTAATGTTTTCCTTTTAATTTTTTCTTAGAATAATTATGAAATAAAAAATACATATTTCGATGTAAAACTAAATATATTTCATTAACTTTTTTTGACGTTTTCAATTAACAAAAAATGAACTTAGTTCAAGTAAAGTTCAATTATACAATATTCAGTTATTTGTGAAGGTCCCATGAACTAAAAATTTGTATTGTGTTTTTTGGACTCAAGACAACTTCAATAGATAAAACTTCTGATTTTATTTTCATTTATATATTACATATTGGTATCATATGAAAGATCATAAAAAGTTATGAATTTTGATAAACTTTTTGAAAAAATTGGAGGACAAATAAAAAAGTTATAAACGTTTTTAAAAATTAGAATATTATGATGCAAGGATGACAACATCATCATGACATCATCCATGTCAAAAGAAAACATGGTAGCCGAATCTTTATACTCGTATTTGTTGTAAAACGAGAATGATAAGTGTGAATTGTTCATCCTTTTCATCAGGACACTAATCTAATTTTCATCCTTGTAATAGACAGATAGCTAGGTTTAATGTTTCCAGCAAATTACGTAGAATAATTCTTTGATGATTCATCTCCTAGCCAAACTAGTATAAATAGGGTGATCAACCCTTTGCAAATGTACTCAGAAATTCAGAAAATATTCAGATATTAAGAAGAAGTAATTTAGAGCTTTTTATCTATATATCTATCTCTTAAATTTGATCTTCATCTTCTTCATTTCACAACACGTTATCAGCACGAATCAGCTCAAACTCTCCAAGAAATCATCTTCCTGCAGGTATGAGCATCATTATTAATTATCTCCTTTAATGTTTTCAAGTCATTAAAATATTTTTCAGAATGTAATACTACGAAAATACACTACTACGTAATTGATTTTCCAAATAAAATTTAAGTATGTTCAATAAAAAAGGGTTTACCTCTAAGTATTCTCCAATCTTGATGAATAGATAAGGTCTTCGTAGAACAAAAACGGATGCAAATTACGACTAGAAAGAATACTGCTATCTACAACTATTACAAAATAGTAATCTGACTTGAAAAGAAATCAGACGAAAAGAATTGGCTAGTGTAATGAGGCTCCGTAAGGAAGAATAAGTAAAAAAGATAGAATATATAAATGCAGGAGTATTATATGCGTGTATAAATATAATAAATTGACATGTATGGGTCCTCCTTATACAACTTGTTAGTCACGGAGCAATTTTAGAAAACGGTGCTCAGTCTGCTATCAAAACAAGATACTGCAACTTATTTTTGTTTTCTTTCTTCACGGGTCTGCAAAATAAACACTACTATTTGTCTATTTCTATACAAATAAACAAACAAATTGGGATGTCAGTTAGGATCGGAATGAAGTCTATAATGATAGATACTAGTACATAGTCGTCACAAATTTACAAAATACGTAGTACTGAATAATCATTTTAGCCTCAAATTAGATGTAAGTAATATTAAAATAATCATTGTTTTTGGAATTCTAGACTATTCAAATACGGAGTATCACCTAGACTATTACGGATTGGTATACGTGACACATAAAGGTCAGACAATTCACATGCATGCATACATTTTACTTTTATAGATTTTCATTTTTATGACACGTATACTAACAAACAAATAAGAGATCACAAGGGGCAAAATAATGTTCCTTACTCCATAACTTAATAAATTAAAGTTCGTAGAAAAATATGTATAATGATTAAGTTTAATTATACAACTTTTGCAGTATGGCAAACATTAGCAAAAGAGAATTCGACGTTCTTGATCTGTCCGGTCAAAAATACATGGAATGGAAAGTTGATGCTCTAGCACATTTAAAGGCTAATGGTCTCGAGGACACTATTGAGGCTATTAATCAATCATCTTCCCAGGATAAAGCGAAAGCTATAATTTTTCTCCATCATCATCTCCATGAAAGTCTCAAATCTGAGTATCTTTTGATTGATGACCCAAAAGAATTATGGGACAATTTACAGGAGAGGTATGGCCACCAACAAAAGGTACTTTTGCCAAAAGCTCAGTATGATTGAATCAATTTAAAATTCCAGGATTTTAAATCAATCAGTGACTATAATTCTGCCATGTTCCAAATAACATCTAAACTAAAGTTATGCGGACAAAAAGTCACTGATGCTGATATGTTGGAGAAAACCTTTTCTACAATGCATATTTCTAATATGCTGCTACAGCAGCAATATAGAGAAAAGGGTTTTAAAAAATACTCCGACTTAATATCAGTATTATTGGTAGCTGATCAAAATAATGACCTTTTGATGAAAAATCATAATCTGAGACCCACTGGTTCTAGTCCTTCGGCTTATGGTCCATCTGGCCATAATTTAGCCACTGAATCAAATGCAACATACAGTGGCAGTAGAAGGCATTTTAAACGTGGGCATTTTAATGGTCATAAAAACAAGTCACGTCGAGAATATAAACAGGTCAATAGACCAAATTATAAGGGCAAGGGCAAACAAAAGGCCTATCAAATAAATCGCCCTCCAAAAACCTCGATAAAGACGACTTGTTATAAATGTGGCATGACGGGGCATTGGGCTAACAAATGCCGTACTGCGAAACATCTGGTGGAATTATTTCAAGCTTTCATGAATTTGAACAAAGGCAAAAATATGGAAGCTAATTATGTCAATGACACAACTCCACCTTTGCCAAAATTTGATGTGTCTGACTTTTTCGCGGATGATGCCATTATAGACGATGCTTTTGCAATAAACCAAAATGTCACAAAATAAAATATTAGACTCCGATCATTATGTTGTAACATATTAGTTTTATGTACTTTTTCTTTCTTCCTTTTTCTTTTGTTTTTAAATAAATGTGTGTAATATATGTACTTTATGTTAAATTATATGCACAATTTGTGATCAAGCTTATGTTTATTTACACATATTGAAGATATGGATCACTCCAATGATAAAGAGCTATGTCTGATAGACAGCGCCACAACGCACACCATTTTGAGAAATAAAATATATTTCTCTCAAATGACTTTAGTTGAGACTAAAGTCAATACCATATCAGGTGTTGCGAAGCTCATTGAAGGCTCTGGGAAAGCATATGTGAGGCTCCCTAACGGGACCAAAATAATTATAAATGACGCTTTATACTCCAGCAAATCACGGAGGAATTTATTAAGTTTTAAAGATATACGTCAAAATGGTTATCACATAGAAACCATGAATGAAAATCGAAAGGAATATCTTTGTCTTACGACAACTAAATCTGGCACTAAATATATTTGTGAAAAAATGTCAGCATATTCCTCAGGACTATATTTCACATCTATAAGTCCATTCGAAATAAATTTGGTTTCTAACACAAAGTTAGATGATCAGAAAACATTCATGTTGTGACATGACCGTTTGGGTCACCCAGGCCAAGTAATGATGCATAAAATCATTAAGACATCACTTGGACACCCATTAAAGAATATCAGGGTTCCATTATCATGTGATTTTCCTTGTAAGGCCTGTTCTCTTGGCAAAATTATCATCAAGCCTTCTATGAACAAAATTGCAACTGAATCACCTGCATTTTTAGAAAGGATTAAAAGAGATATTTGTGGGCCGATAGCCCCACCATGTGGACCATTTCGATATTTTATGGTGTTGATTGATGCTTCAACACGTTGGTCACATGTTAGTCTTTTATCGACTAGAAATTTAGCATTTGCTAAACTCCTTGCTCAAATTATACGATAAGTTCTCATTTTCCGGATCATTCTGTAAAGAGAATCCGACTTGACAATGTAGGAGAATTTACATCCCAATCATTTAACGACTATTGTATATCGATTGGGATTGATGTGGAGCACCCTGTTGCTCATGTCCATACACAAAATGGTCTTGCTGAATCTTTAATTAAACGATTACAATTAATCGCTAGACCATTATTAATGAAGTGCAATTTGCCTTCATCAGCTTGGGGACATGCTATTTTGCATGCAGCAAATTTAATTTGGCTTAGACCAACTGCATATCATGAATATTCCTCAATGCAATTACTAACTGGACAAGAGCCAAACTTAGCACACATTAAGATATTTGGTTGTGCTATTTATGTTCCAATTGCTCCACCTTATCGTACAAAAATGGGTCCTCAAAGAAGGTTGGGAATTTATGTTGGATTTGAATCTCCCTCAATAATCAAATATCTTGAACCGATGACTGGTGACTTATTCACCGCACGATTCGCTGACTGTCATTTCAATGAGACAGTATTCCCAACCTTAGGGGGAGAAACTAATAAATCGGACCCGAGTACGAAAGGAATAACATGGAATGCAACAGGATTATCACACCTTGATTTTAGATCAAATACATGTGAGCAAGAGGTGCAAAAGATAGATAATCCATTTACAAAATGTTGCAAATCAGCTGCCTGATGCTTTTACAGAT